AGAAGTCATTCAGAATAGGCTAACTAGGATGGTGAGGAGACTATATAAGTCATACTATTAATAATTAATAACTAGTAATAATTAGTTGTTTAGCCTAGAAAAGAGTGGATGGTGGGGCATAATATCTGTTCAGTATTTGAAAGAGTAAGAAAGAAAGCATAGAGTTGTCTTGCTCATTCCCAGACTGCAGAACTAGGAGCCATATATGGAAGTTATGAGAAGCTTGAGGAAAGAAAACATCTTTCGAACTACGAGAGCTGTACAGCAGTAGTAGCATGGTCTGTCTTGGTAATGAGGGAGCCCTGCCTCCTTAGGAGTCTTTTGGTAGAATCTGGATGACGGGGAGGCAGTGGGGGCAATTCCCCTGTGTATGTACAAGTTGGACTAAGTCCTTTCTAACCTCATTTCTGTGGAAACTGGTTGTGCACATGCATTTATTGTCTATTGTTGAGTTGTTTTTCAGTTGTGTCCAACTCTTCATCATCCCATTTGAGGTTTTCTTGGCAAAGATACTGGAGTGGTTTGCCATCTCCTTCTCTGGATCATTTTTATAAATGAGAAACTGAACCAAACAGGTAACTGACTTGCCCAGGGTCACACAGCTAGTAAGTGTCTGAAGCTGGATTTGGACACTGGAAGAGGAGTCTTTCTGACTCTAGGCCTGGTGTTCTATCCGCTGTGACACCTACTATTGCCTATAATTCCCAGCTAAAGATCATGACAGCAACTTAAGCGCCATCCAGCTGAAGATAAGAAACATCTTTCCTGCAGTTAGGTCCAGTTGCTGGAATCACACAATGCCATGCTTTGTTTTGCGTGTCTCATAAGAAGGTGGAAGAGTAGACACATTGAGAGACTGTTCCAGCCTTGAATGAATTCTACTTCCTCCACCAAGTCTTCTCCAGAGAAGAGGAATAGGTATTTCTTTCCCCATCCTTTGCTCTACTCATGCATTTCTGTCATAGGGTTGTTGCGGTCTAAGAGGTTGAGAGGCTGTGACCCCTCAAAGACTGAAGTACATGACGGGTCGTCCAAAATGAATTCACAGACTCAGGCATTCTTTAAGTCAAGGTGGCAAAGTTTAGTGTTACGCTTTTCAGCGGGCAAGGATTCTTAAGGATTCCTGCAACCTTAGAGAGGTATAGTTAAAGTTTACATAGGATAAAATACAATAAAACATGTGCCAAATATGCTAACTCGGTGATTCAGGGTGGGATTAGGGAGTAGTTAAGGAGTGGTCAGTTCTTAAAAGAACATGCACTTCTTGTACCTACTGAGCAGGCGTTTTACCCAGAGTTCACTAGGAAAAGCCCACAAGGGGGGGCCACATGGAGGTGTGGTTTTAGGCCTGCTATATCACTAAGTTAACTAGAGTTCAGGGTAACTGAGAGTTGTTCAGTCTGCCACCAATCAATGTCTTGTTTGACAAGACAGATGTAAGGAGTATACATATGTCTTAAGTCTAGAATACAGTTAATGAGGAGCCCAGGATGTAGATAATGAGGTAGGGCGGTAGTATGTCTTTATGACCCAGTGCAAAGCCAGTTCAAACTAATAATTCCTTCAAGTGCTGTTTGGAATTGCACCAGGGAGAGAGATAAGGGTCTTGCTGGGGCCCACTCATGAGTAATTGCTAAGCACAGTGTCCTTGGGCTGGGGAGAAACTGTCAGGGACAGTGTTTCTGAGGCTAGGGAGAAATTGGGGTCCAAGCACAAGCACCCAAACATAGGCACCCAAGCACCCCATCAGGGCCACAGACTCTGAAATCCTTACGTAATCTTATTTATTTAATTATTTATTTATTTCTGAGCCTGGTTCTTATTGACTTCATCTGAATGTTTGGGCTCTTTTTCATGGCCTCAATTAAAGAAATTTAATTTCAACAAACATAAGTTAAATGCCAGTGATCCCTCAGGATTATCATAACTTCAGGGATGTACATTCCATTCAGAGACCAAAGATTTGCATCAAAGAAGGGAGTGAACACCCATATAGCAAATATGGTCCCCTATTGCTTGCTCTATATACTCTGTTACTCCCTACAGTACAATTTACTGGGTGGAACTGTCCAGGAGAAGGGCAGCAAAAAGAATGGAGGATTAGCTTTTCCTTGAAGTCAGAAGATGGACAGATATTTCAAGTTGGAAGGAACCCTAAAGGTCAACTAGCCCTACTATCTCATTTAAGCGAAGAGGAAACTGAGGGCCCAGAGAAGGCATGACTCTTACCTAAGATGATGTAAGTAGAAGAAAGCAGAGTCAGCATTCAAACCTAGCTCCTCTTACCTTAAATCCCACATTCTTTCCACCAGGTAGACAATTGCTGCCTCCCCTGTTCCTTATTTTGTGTCTTCCCAAATACCAGTCACAAGTAGGAGTCTCTTTTTAGCCTCAGGGCACATGCATACTCTTCTCAAATTATCTCCCCAAATGTCCCTTTTTTGGATTCTTCCTGCAGAGCTCTGCTACCACTCCTAACCTCCTTGAAGCAGAGAGAGCTTTTCCAAAGCTTCCACTTTCTTTTTCCTATTTAGCAAAACATAGATAGCTAGAAGAATTAGATCTAAAACTTCTCTTTCTTGCATTTCCTTCCTGCCTCCATAAAGCACTCCTATAGAGTTTAACCTGCTTTGTAAAATACTTTTCCAGAAAAGTTTCTCTAATGCTTCCAGAAGTGACTTTTATGGTTTTAATCAAAAGAGCCTTTTTTGGAAGCAAGGAGACTGCTGTTTTTGTCCAGGTTCTGTCATCATTTGTCTGGGCATTAGTATCCTCATCTTTAAAATGGCCAAATTAGCAAGGCAGCTAGGTGGCACAGGGAATAGGGCACTTGCCCTGCAGTCAGGAGGACCTGAGTTCAAATTACACTTCAGATCTTACTAGCTGTGTGACCCTGGGCAAGTGATTTAACCCCAATTACCTAAAAAAATTGTCCAGGTTGGACTAGATAATCTTGAAGGTCCCTTCCAATTTGAACATTCTATTATGGATGAAAATTCTGATAGTACATATACCTATTCTGGAGCTCTTTTGGGGTGTTGGAAGGGGGAGCTCAGCTTTTCATCACATAGAGCACAGTAGTGTCTGAGAACCATTCTTTGGTTAATCCATAGGAACTAGTTAAGTTTCACCAAATGTTAGCTAAGAATCTTCTATGGGGAAGATGAAAGATTTCATAGTATAATTAGGTTGATCACCAGCTTTGGAGTTGGTAAAAACTGTTCAAATCCTTCATCTGATACTTATTAGCTCTATGACTATGGAGTCTACATTCAGTGCCTTAGGCTGCTTTCTAAAACCATAGTTAGAGATAGATTGCCAGGGTGCATCAGCTGAGTGAGTCTTCCACATGAGCAATCCCTCCCACTGTTGAAATCACAAAGATATACAAGATTTTGTGTTAAATTTTTGGAATTCAAAGATGAACGACCTCATGATCTCTTATTCTCAAGTAACTTTTAATCAGGAGGAAGAGAGCGAATGAGGGAGAGAGGGAAGGAGAGAAGGAAGGAAAGAAGGAAGAGAGGAAGAGAGGGAGGAAAGGAGGGAGGGAAGAAGGAATTTATTAAGCATCTACAATGTTCCAGGCACAGTAGTAAGCCTGGGGCATGTGCCTTCCCTCTCCCTTTCTCCATAAGCTTTTAGGAACCTTTTATGGGAAGAAAGGTTCCCGGTTTGAGATCCAGAATACAAGCAAAAAGAAAGTGTTCCTGTCCTCACAGACCTTACATTCTAACAGGGGAAGATAATACATAAAAGGAAACTGAAGTGGGGATGGGGAAAGGGGAAGGAAGTAAGGTGCTCAGTTAGAGGTCCAGAATATCAGAAAAGACCAGGAGGAGAATGAAGACAGGCTGACTTGGTCCTTTCCACAAAATGGTTGGTGAGAAGCAGAGTGGGCCTTGTGGAATATTCCTGGGTGAACAGGACATAGGAGTGATGGGCTGTTGCAAGGGCTAGGAGCACACAGCACTTAGAGATGTTGTAGGATGAGCCAGAAGGAGAGAAGGCACGGTTTTTGAAGTCTGGCAAGTCAGGGTCAGTCCCAAGAGGGTCATAGCTCTGGAAGGCTTGTCTTCAGGCTCCAGAGTATATTGTCTCCCCACTCTGAGGATACTTGAAGGCAGAGACTGTCTTATTTTTATGTTTGTATCACCATTACTTTGCTCAGAGTTTGGCACACAGTAGATGTTCAGTAGATGCTTTTTCACTCATTTGCTCATTCAAATAATGCTGTGAATATGCATATAATTCTCATAAAATGTCATTTATTTTCTGTTTCCCTCATCCCTAGAATATCAAGTGTAAGAAGACCCCTACTCTAATTCCTCTCACTAATTTATGATTAGAACATTAAAGAAGTTTACAAATGCTAATATTTCCATTTTGATTTAAGGTTTAAATTATAATATATACTCCAACAGTAATGCTGAAAATTGAATATGACTGAAATTTGACTGAAAATTGAATATGAATTTAAATGGCAATGAACAATTCTGGGAGTATTTTTTTTGGTTGTTCTTGACCTATTACATACATTCTCTGGAAACACTCTTCTCAGTGATTTCTCTCTAAATAGCCTTATTTTCCTCATTAGAAGTGGCAGCAGAATTTTAGTCTCATTATTCAGCAATTGGGCATACTTCCTTTTTTCCATTTCAAAACTGTCAGAAAAATACCTTCATTTCCTCCAAAAGAAGTAAACATAGGCAAAGGTCAGAATGAAACAATGATCTGGAGCTACAAGAAGTAGAGCAAAGTACAATGCCAAATTGGCTAAATGAGAATGAGCCATTTGTCTAAACTAGGGTAGGGACACAGGCATATCAATACTATGCAGACATTACAGCCAGGTCCCCAAATCATTATGTACTCATCAATCATCCTTCCTCATTTATTGGGATTCATATTCAACAAACATTAATTTTATGTTTGTAAATGTTCAAGGCAATGTGTTAGATGCTGAAGTAGATACAAAATAAATAAGATATAGATCTTACCCCCAAGTTGTTTGCAGTCTAGTGTGGGATATAAATAAGAGCACCAGGCTTCATGTGTTTAGGTTAACTCCTTCCTGAATTCTGTACTCTTTTCTTTGAAGGCCAATTTCTTAGATGAATTCAGTTCAGAGCAATGTTCTCCTGTCAGAAGGAAAAGTTTTCTTTCTGTATTATCAAAGGCTGAGCAGAAAAGACATTGAGGTCACTGTCAAATGCATGTAAACACTTTAAAATAAGTACATTAAAATAGTTATCATGTAAATTTGAATTTTTGATTGGAAACGATTAAATACTTAAAAAAAGACGTTCCTTAGAACTGAATGCCTGAAGGTTCTGGAAGGCCTGTGAGGTAGCAGCATTGGTATCCTTAGAGTGAGGATCACAACTAGCAGGTGAACCATCTGCGTTGGAAATGGAGAAACACACCAGGTGAAGATTTGGAGAATCTGGAGGATTTGGAGAAGCAGTCCCCTTAAGGAGGAGGCGCTTTCAGGGAGTGTGAGACTTCATGGCAGAGAGAAGTGATGGTTATGGATTTTAAAAAAGGAGCAGATCCTGGAAGCCCAGAATAGTGAGGAGCAAGCTATTTAGTCCAGATGTAGCTGTGAATTTTGTGAGAACTCAACAGAGAAATACAGGACTTCCAGGCTCAACAGAACCAAGAGTTATCCTTTGACACACTTGTTGCCTACACATGTGCCTTGCTACCACTGTAGTACAAGTGTGATTCCACTTTCCCCATGGGCACAGTGTATATTAATATATAAAACCTTGGACTGTTGGGGCAGACAGTTTTTGTTATGCCTTTTGAATGAAAGACTTTGCTAAGAGCTAATTGAGTCTACTAGCTGATTATTGATGAAAGCATGCATGTGGGGCTCTGGCACTAGGGCCAGAGCCTCACAGAGACACTCAGAGATTCTGAGGTAGCAGTCACCTTCTAGGCACCTAACCTCCAAGTGAGTGCAAGTTAGGAGAGAAATCTGGGGGTGGAGGGGGAGATAGGGGTAACATGAATATATGCAAAATGAAAACAAGGTTATTTTGAGAGTCAAGGCACTGACAAATGGGGGTGGGGAGCAGGAATGGCTTTATGAAGAAGGTGGTACTAGACCTGCTTTAGTCTTCCTCACCAGAAACTCTCTACACCCATAAAAGTGCAGGTCCAGTCAAAGGGAAAAAAACAAACAAACAACATTTACTGAGACACTTAGTTTATACTTTTCTTTAATTTTAATAGAATTTATTATAAACTCATTAAATATAAAATTCAAATAAACAAAATAAAAAATTAAATCACATATAAAACTATAAGCTTCAAACAATTTGTAGTCAGTTAACAAAAATGAACATGGTGAGAGATTCTAATAAATTAAGCGAACGCTATATTTGCTTCTGTCTCTTCCAATCTTTTTTTCTGTTTATTATTGTATTTTGTTGATGTTAGTTATTCTTCATAGTTGTCAGTTTTGATTCTTCTTTCTTTACTCTACATCATTTCATTGAAATCTCTTCATATTTCTTTTTAGTCTTCATATTTATAATTTATTAGAACATGTAGCTTTCTACAAGATTGCACATATACTTAGAAACTTAATGAGCTTTTTCAGGTGGTAATGATTGCCAAACATACATGATTCCTTTATATAGGTGTTAGCTTTAAATTTCTTCCTCAAAACCTATTACAGACCAACATACTCATTTTATTCTTAACAACCATAAACTGACACATTTTACTATAGGCTAAAAAGGCTCCTATTTATATTAATTCAGTAAGTGTCACTGGACTTTGTAGAGAATCCTGACCAAGCTGTTTCTTCACTCATAAACTTGCATTGAATAAGTAGTCCTTTAGACATAAAGAAAATGCTATTTACCTAACAAAATGTTGCTTGACTAATTTTTACCCTATTATCAGTGGATTTGCTCTGAGCCAGAGTCATAACTATGGCAGGGCAAAGGGGGCTTTGCCTCGGGGCACCAAAATTTAGAGGGCAAAAAAATTTAATACATGACTAAAGAAACCAACCCTTCTTACAACTCAATGCCTTTTTTCTTCATTACTAGTGTCATCCGTACATCATGAATTATAAAGTTGACTTGAGGGCAAAACTGATGCTCCTTGCTCTGGGAGCATGTAACATGTTACATGCTCTGGGTGCCAAAGTTGCTAGTTTTTCTCTGCTCTGATCTCTTTCACTTGATTCTTTCTTCTTGTCTACTGAACACATTTGCAGAATGGCCAAGGTCTCTTGTTTAAGTTGACCATGAAATACTATAAAACCAATTGGTGACAAAGTGATTGAAACAGGAATCTCAGTCCTGGTGGTACTAACGATCTAAGCCAACTCGCCATGGGCTTGTCCCCAAACAGGAGACAATGAGGCACAGTGGCCAGGGACAAAAAACCCATGTTTGAATATGACTTTGTTACTTTCTACCTCTGTGATCTTTAAGGCCTCAGTTTCCTCCGTTCTAAAATGAGGGAAAGGGACTAGATAGCCACTGAGATTCCTTCTGGTTCTAATTTTAATATCCTAAAAATTCCCTTCCTTGTAAAATGTAGGTCTTCAATAATAATAACTGACATTTATAAGACACTTAAAGGTCTGCAAGATGCTTCAAGTGCATCATCTAATTTTAGCCACACAAGAGCCCTATAACAAAGGTACTAAGATAGGATTATTCCCATTTTACTTGTGAGGACACTGAGGCTTAGAGAAGTTTAGTTACTTATTCATGATCATAAAGCTACTACTAAGTGTCAGAGGTAGGATTTTAACCCAAGTCTTCTGGACTCCATTTCAATGACTATACACTAAAGGATGATCTTCTAGTAGGGGAAATTATGACTTGGGCAGTTCAGGGTCTGATGAGTAGTTTATCACATAAATTTAATTATCTCTATGGGTAAGAACATATTAGGGACTTCGGCACACTTTTGAGGGGTCTGTAAAAATTGTCAAGTCATTTAAGACTTTTTCATTCTTCATTTAAAAGGCAACTATATTGGGAAGGTTGAAACATTACTCATTATTTTAATAAAAATCCTAGATGCAGGGACACCTAGGTGACACAATGGATTGAGCACTGGGCCTGGGGTTAGGAAGACCCAAATTCAAATCCTGCCCCAGATACTAGCCGTGTGACCCTGGACAAGTTGCTTAACTTCTATTTGCCTCATTTTTCTCAATTATAAAATGGTCCCATTAATGGCACTTACCTCCCAAGGTTGTTGTGAGGATAAAATAACACAATATTTGAAAAGCATTTAGCACAATGACTGGCACATAGTAGGTGATATATAAATGCTGGGTTAGTGGATGTAGTGCAGTGGATAGAGTGCTAGGCCTGAAGTCAGGAAGATTCATCTTTGTTCAAATCTGGTTTCAGATACTTAGAAGTTATGTTACCCTGGGCAAGTCACTTAACCTTGCTTGCATCAGTTTCCTCATCTGTAAAATGAGCTGGAAAAGGAAATAGCAAACCACTCCACTATCTTTGCCAAGAAAACTCCAAATAGGGTCACTAAGAATTGAGAAATGACTGAAAAAAAGTGAGCTATTATTATTATGAGATGCACAACAGTGGGAAAATATGCCATTCTTCCTCCACCATAAATAATACTTGGAATTAACGAATTTTAAAAGCAATTTAATTTGTATTTACTTAGCTGTCTCTGTAACAATCTACAAAATGGGCACAACAATAGCACCTACCTCCCAAAGTTGTCGTGAAGACAAAATAACATCTAGTCCCAAAGAACTTTCCCACCTGCTTTAGGACAAACTTCAGGATTCGTTCCCATTGTTCTTCAAATTGCATAGCAATACACTGGTAATTACAGTTATTAAAAATTACTCCAAAGAATTGTGGTAAAGTTCACATCAAGATGTGGGTGCTATTGTACACTCAGATAAATATACATTCATGGAAATATTGCAAGGAAATTCCATTAGTAGGGCCTGATTCTTCCTCAACAAAGACTTTAAAATATTTTGTCTTCTGCATGTTTTCTAGTGATTTGAACTCCCCCCCCCCCCTTTTCTGGCTGCAGAGCCAATGACCACGTGCCAGCAAGGGAAACAAAGTTGAAGAATTTGTAACACACACACACACACACACACACACACACACACACACACACACACACGGGTGGGGGGGGAGGAAAAGCTGAGTCCTAAAGGAAATGCCAAGACATTGTTTCCAATTGGTTATTTACAAGTATCACATGTTTTAGACATCTTTAAAAGGAAGTTATCTGGGCTCAAGAGTGTTACATTGCTTTCCTGAAAACCACTGTTTCCTTTCCCTGCTTGAGGTCAAAATCTCAGAAGTCCCACAAAATGTGTGAGGCATTTGTAGGAACTTGGAAGCTTATTTCCAGTGAAAACTTTGATGAATACATGAAAGAAGTGGGTAAGGATAAACCTTGCATCTTCCTGGATAAGGAATGATTTTTTTCTCTCTAGGGTAAAGGAGTTTATGACTGTTGTTCACACTGGAAGGCTGGTCAGCAAATTAAATACTCATTCCTCTTCAGAGGATGTGTTTGTGTTGATTGTCTTTTGCTTCTGTATTCTAAATGTTTGTTTTTAAAGTTTTCAGTTAGAAAAGTAAACCTCGTAAGTGAAAGGGTCTAATAGTTTGTTTGCTTTAAAATAGTTAGCAAATTATCTTCCTGATTTATTATCCCTGATCCATTTGGTTCATTGGACTCATTGCCTATGGCCTCTCCACCCATGAAAACAAAGGAATACATTTGCAGTATGTATGATGTTGTGTAGCAGTTTGCATTTGAAATGTAAATACTGAATTTATCATCTTAATATATGCCATGTTCTACTCTTGCTTTCTTTTCCAGGGTGAGACATCAGTAAAATGATGGGACTTTTCCCTGTAGCTAAAAATTATTTAGAGAGCTGTAGTTCACCAAGGTTGCATGTTGATTGTTTTTGCTATCAAGCTTATTCTGACTATGGCTGCTTTATGGGAGACAATGTGTCACTCATCACATTTGCCTTCTTGGAAGGACTTAGAAATGTTCTTTGACACTGGCCCTGAAGTCAAGAGGACCTGGGTTCAAATTTGGTCTCAGACATTTACTAGCTGTGTGACTCTGGGCGAGTCACTTAACCCTGATTGCCTCTCCTACCTCCCCCTCCCATTTTTTTTTAAAGAAAGAAATATTTTTTGACTTGAATTATAGGAGATTTATGGATGCTAAAGCCAGGCTTCCCATTTGAAGTCAGAGTCCAGCCAACCCAAACCTATCTGAAATTACACCATGAAAATTCAAAGAATTTAACTAAAGAAGGTTTCAGATACTATTACTGTACTTACTTTATTAATTAAATCTGAATGGAATTTTTTTTTCTTAAAAAGAGAGAGGATGTGTATTGTTAATATAGATAATGAGAGTGTATCCTATCCCCCATAACTTTGGGTCAGAAATAGGGTTATTAGCATCCCAGCAGCCCTTGTGGATTATGAGGGTAGGTAGTTCCTTTTCTCTGAAGAGTGTGCTCAGTGAAGACTTTCCTGGAAGTAGTGTATTAGAGTAGGGAGACGGACTATGCAATGTTTTACTTGGGAATCAAATTTAAATATATGTCACTTTGCACATTGCCTGGCACATAGTAAGCAATGAATAAATGTTTATTGATTGATTGATTGACACTTATTTGAAAGTTGAAAATTCTATGTCTTTTCAAAAGCCCCAAACTTCTGAAAAGGTAAAGCACCTTTTCTGGTTTTCTGAAACAACTAGATTCTGGTTTATAGAAAAGAGGTAGAAGAATAATCTGATCTCGTATTGGTTCTTATCCAATACCATAATCTTACAAACTAACTTTCCTTTTCAGGTAGATCGTGTGAGGGCCTGGTGTCCGCATGAACTTCTTAATTCCAAGTCTAGTGCACTACCCACTGCATTACCTACCTGCCCTTAAATCTTGTTGTTCAGTCATTTTTGGCTCTTCGTCACCCCATTTAGGGTTTTCTTGGCAAAGATACTAAAGTGGTTTGCCATTTCCTTCTCCAGCTCGTTTTACAGATGAGGGAACTGAGGCAAACTGGGTTAAGTGACTTGCCTAGGGTCACATAGCTAGTAAGTGTCTGAGGCCAGATTTGAACTCAGGCCTTCCTTTATTCCAGGTTCCACCTAGCTGTCCTCCAATTCCAATCAACTGATTAGCATTAATTAATCCATTTTGGGGGACTGGACTTGTCATTTCACTGGCATAAGAAATGCCAATGAAGAAACTTCCTCTCCCAATGCAGATTGGCACCTGCTTTACAATTTATGATCTCAGAGATTTGCACTCTAGGATGTTGAGTCCTTTGCCCAGGGCCACACACAATCAGAAGAAAAGTGTAAACCCAGGTCATCTTGACTCCCATGTTTCCACTAGGCTAGGTTACCTCTGTAATCCTTAAGCAGTCATAATGAATAGACTGGAAGCAGATCCCTGGAAACAGCTTTAGATGAGGAGAGAATATGATTCACCCAAGGTCACTCAAGTCAAACCTCAGATTTCCTTATTCTATAGAATAGAATATTCTTACCATGCTGTTGCATTTATTATGCTTCAGTAATGTTTCTTTATTTTGCCTGAGCCACCATTTGCCCACCTTTTCATTAGGTAGCTTGTTTTCAGCTGAATTAGATGCAAAACGAGGGCTGGCCCCACTAGGGTTGCCCTCTTTGCCATCATTTCATTTATTACCATCTCTAATGCTTTTTGTGATCTCCAAGGAAGTAAAACAAATAAAGTTTAGAGTCCTATATCATTAAAAAAAAATTCAATATATGCATAAAAACATAACACATTAATGCTGAGAGAGACAAAAGATTATCTAGGCCAACCCTTTCATTTTGTAGATGAGAAAGCTGAGATTGAGAGAGTTTGAATATGTTCAAGGTCGCGTATTTAGCAGACCCAGAATCTCCTGGCTGGACTCCCACATCTGTGTTTTCTCTTTTTATGAGACTACCATGCTTGCTTCCCTATCATTTCATACACTTTGTGCCTGTGTAAAGTACTTTTCAAAATGTTATGGAAATGGTAGCTATTATCATTAGTAGAGGGGGTATATAGGCAGTAAAATCACTGCAGTCTAGTTGGCTAATGAGAAATTGTTGAGAAACTTGACACATAGCACATGCTTAAAAAATGTTGTTGAAATAACTTGAATTGAAGCCATTTATAACCCCAGAAGGGGTATTTCTCAGAAAAATGCATTCCCTCCCCACTTTTTAATAGCCTACGAACTCTAACACAGACATTCTTGGCTAGAATTAGGAATCTCAAAATAATTATTTAAAGGTTTTATAGTTACGCTGTCGAACTTTTTGTGTTAATTCAATTTCCCCCATAGGCATATATTATCTACTGTGGTGAGTCAGTGTGGCAGAATGGATGGAGGGCTGGCCTCAGAGTTTGGAAGACCTGGGTTCAAATCCTGTCTCTGATAAAGGCTGGGTGTGTACTGATACTAGCTCGATGACCTCAGGGAAGTCATATAACCTCTCAGTGCTCTAGGCCAGAGGTATTAAACACGTTCCTGAGTGCAGCTGAACCAAATTACAGTATAATTGGGAAATACTTAACAAAATAGATAAAAATACATTTAAATGTAAATAATGTTAGTATGTGGTTTTCTAAGCCCTCTTTCCTACCTGAGTTTGACAACACTGCTCTAGACAACTCTGTTAGATAGATATAAGTTGAATTAGAAGTGTTACATTGAACTAGCAACGGAAATTTCTAAACCTCCCCCCCCCCCGCCAATGCCCAATTCCTTATACCAGCACAATCATGGACTGTCATCTCTGTCCCTATAGCTGATGTGCTCTCTTCTCCCTGAGGATCTCATAATACCTTCTAAATTAACTCGGAACCTCCATAGTAAGTGGTCGTCTGATGATGTTTGGTGGGGTTCTGAATCAATGTGATTTCATTGGAGTGGGAACTCCTGGTGTAGAAACTCCTTTCACTACTGTACAGACATAAATTGACTGTCAATTGTGTGTAAGTTGGAGTTTTAGAAGGGTGCCTGAGCACACCGAAAGGATAAGTAGCCTATGGTCACACAGCCACTATGCGGGACTTGAAAATAGGTCTTGCTGTCTCCAAAGTTGGCCCCTCTATCCACTAAGCCAGGATACCTCACTGTAATAATAAGTAGGAAATGTCATATCTTTGGGAAAATTAAGCCAAGACACAAAGTCTGACAGAATAACTTGGAAAAGAGCATGTAAATATGAGGCTTGAGTAATAATATGATAACCAACAGAAAGGGTTAATAAAGAAAGAGTGATTGACATCATACTTCTTTTACAGTGAATAGAGGCTTTTTTTTTTAGACAAAGTGTGTCACAGGGATTCTTAATCTAGGGTCATGAACTATTTTTAAAAAAATTGATAGCTTCATTTCAATATAACAGGTTACCCTTGTAACCTGGTATATATTTTGTTTTATGCATTAAAAATATTATTGTGAGAAGGGGTACGTAGGCTTTACCAGAGGGAAAAAGGGGGCCATGACACAAAACAAGGTAAGAGCTCTTGGCCAACAGCACGCTATTAGTGAGAAGTCAGACTTGAATTCTGAATTCAGTCATGCTTCTCTTGCTAAGGCTCGCTCATGATGTAACCAGGTATTAATTAATCAATCAATAAGAATTTATTAAGTGCCTGCTTCGTGCTAGGTTGTTCTGATGTGTTCCCATAATATCTGGAGATAGCTGGCTAAGTTTGGTGTCTAAATGATACTGACAGAGCTTTTAATTTTTTTAATTTTTTTTTAATTTTTTACCATATTATCTATCACTTACAAGTGACCCTCGTGCTTGTTTATAATGTGTTCCTGTAAAGAGATACACTAGTGTCTTTATTCCCCATGCTGTAGCCAGGATCTGAGATGGAGGATCTTAGATCATATACTGCTGTCTATTGGGCCTCCAGCTTTCCAAACAAAACATAGGTGATATGCTTTTTCAAACATTACCTCATTCACCAAATGGTCCCAGTATATTTTTCTTGCAAAGGATAAGGGAGGCCTTTTAGGAACTCCCTATCATTTTGATTCTTTCTTAAAAATGAAAGGAATAAAAAAAATAATTTTTAAAAAGTCCTTAAGCAGAAAACTAACTTGGAGTTGTACTAAAGTTGTCCATTCTTAGTACAATTGAATATAAAACTCAAAACATTCTCTTCTCTGCATTTTAGGAGTGGGTTTTGCCACCAGAAAAGTGGCAGGCATGGCTAAACCCAGTATGGTCATCAGTGTGCAAGGAGATGTGATCACCATTAAATCAGAAAGTACTTTTAAAAATACTGAGATTTCCTTCAAATTGGGCCAGGAATTTGATGAAGTCACTGCAGATGACAGAAAAGTCAAGGTGAGGAATATACATTCCCTTTATGTTAGGGGACATTTCTTTAAAAAAAATTATTGATATCCTTTGTTTTATATCAACTTCATTCCTCAAAGTATCCTCCCTTTCCCATACCCTGAGTGCTATCCTTTATGACACAGAAAAAAAGAAAGAGAAAAAAAACACTTTAGGAAAACTAACCAACATATCAACCAAGTATTAAGATCTATTTTTCCATACCCATTATCCCCCACGTCTGCAATGAAATGAAGACAATTACGTTCTCAGATCTGTTCTACAAGCCCAAGTTTAGACATTTTTCTTTTTTGTTCTTTCCATTTACATGATTGTAGTTGCTGTATATATTATTTTCCTGATTCTGTTTGCTTCACTTTGTACCACTTCATGTCTTCCCATGTTTCTCTATATCTTCACATTCATTATTTCTTTCAGCACAGTAGTATTCTATTACATTTATGTACCACAATTTATTTAACCACTCTCCAAGAGATGGACATCTGCTTTGTTTCCAGTTCTTTACCACAACAACTACTACAAAAAAAAAAACCCTCCGTGATAAATATTTTGGCACATACAGAACCTTCCTCTCTATGTTTTACCTTCCTGGGGTGAGCAGTAGAGTCTCCAGGTCAAAGAATATAGACATTTTGGTCACTCTCTCCATTAATTTCAATTTACTTTCCTTAGTGAAAAAATTTGCTGTTTTATCATCAGGGCATTACTGTGCCTGCCTTTCCACAATCTCTCCAAAATCAACTATTTCCATCTTTGTCATCTCCTCCTGTCCCAATTTGCTGGGGATGAGGTGAAACCTCAGAGTTGTTTTGACTTGTATTTATTTCTCTTATTGTTAATGATTTGGAATAATCTGTTATGTGGTTGTTAATAATTTATAATTCTTCTTTTGAGAGCCATTTATATCCTTTGACCACTTATCCATTCATTAATATCTTCTTGTCATATATATTTGTGTTGGTTTGCTGTGTATCTTGGATATCAGAGTTTTTTCAGAGATTATTGATACAAAGACTTTTTCCCAGTGAAGTGCTTCCCTTGTTATCTCAGTTGCATTGCTTTTGTTTGTGCAAAAACTTTTCAGTTTCATGTAATTGAAATGATTTATTTTATCTTTTTTTTATTACCTTGATTTCTTTTTTGGTTAAGAATTTTCCCTCACGAGACATTTCTACATAGTCCCTGAGAAGTCTCACATATTACAATAATAGGGAAAAAAATGACTAACCCATTGAAAGTGAAAGGCATGTGAGAATAAACATGGTGGGTAATTCTTCTGTCCCTCCTGGCAACACAAAGAGTCTCATCATAATTTTTTTATACTTACAGAGTCTCATAACCTTAAATGATGGTGCACTGGTTCAGGTGCAGAAATGGAATGGAAAATCAACCACAATAACAAGAAAACTAGTGGATGGTAAAATTGTGGTGGTGAGTTACTTCTAATCACTAACTACAGCAAAGTTCTTATGGTGCTATGGAAACAGAATCATGTGGAGAGTGAGAGAGCCTAGGTTTGATGTTTGCCTCTGCCAGTTACCGCCTAAATGACCTTTCATGAATCACTTTGGGTTGGGCTAGATGAACTCTGAAGTCCCTTCTAGCTCTAAATCTGTGATCCAGATAACCTCAGGTTCCATTTACTATGTATAGAACACCTAATTGCCAGGTTTGCCCCTGGGCACTTTGGAGAAAGCAAAAGGGGACTCTTGGACCCACAATCAATCATGCTCTGAACTCAATTGTATCTGCTAAGGTAGCATCTAATTGGGTCTGATGTTAGTAAAGAAGAAATATACATAGGTTGCTCCCACCCTCTTGCTAAATTGAAAGAGAGAGGAGAAAAGAACTTCCCACTCCTTCACCCTCCTTGTTTCACCTTGATGTTTGACCCTCACCTCTTCTTGCTTTCTAGGAATGTGTCATGAAAGATGTCGTTTCCACTAGACTCTATGAAAAAGTATGAACTGACTTCTCAATGAGCCAAAGCCTGCCAAACTGTGTGTGTGTTGTTTAAATGAATATGGTTCTCCCTGACTACATTGGGAGAAATTCTATTTGCAAAGCATTTATTTACTCCTTTCTGTTTTATTGATTCAGTAAACATCTTTAACATTAAAATACATTCATGGATACTTTGTTCAGTGTGGAATAGCATAAGAACTATGACCTCTCTTGATATTTTAAAATAAAATTTCTCATGGAAAATCTGTAGTTGATTAAAGTACTTGCATGGGGGAGGACAATTATATAATTATTTTAAAATAACTAATTTGCGATTTCTTCACTAGCCAATAACTCAAAGGAATTATTCTGTCATATTTATATAGAGTAACATTTCTTTAATTTGGAATTTATGATAACTCAGATGTAGTATACGTGTTTTAGTATTGCCATGTAACTGAACTGAATGTACTCCATGTAAATGGAAGGGGTATCTTCCTATTTAATGTAATTTCAGGAGTTTCAGCCTTTACTTGTGCCCCTCAGTTCCAAAGCTTTTTTCCCTCTCCTTTCCCCCTTTACTAAAGGTGAGGAAAGCCCTCCATTATATTTGAGAGCAGGAAAATACAAATACAAAAGTTCCCTAGGTAGACAGTAATGTATTAAGAATTCACATTGAAGTATAAATCATTTACATAAAAACCTTTCCTGAGAGATATTGACAGAGGGAAAAGATATGGAGGAAAGAGGCATTGGACATCTGAAAGGAGCTGTGAGATTAGATGCCATGGACAAAATAAAGTGAAGTCAGCAAGCATTTATTAAGAACTTATGCAAAAAGAACTGGGGGCACAAAGTTAGGCAAAAGCACTTCCTGCCCTCAAGGAGCTTACAATCCAATGGGGGATATAAAATGCCAACAACTATGTACTCACAAGATATATACAGGGTAAATAAGAACAATCTCAGGGGGAAGGCACTAGCCTTAAAGGGAACTAGGAAAGTCTTCTTGCAAAAGGTAAGATTTTGGCGAGACTTAAAAGAAGACTAGGAAACCAGAAGGTAGAGACAAGAAATGAGAAAATTTCAGGCACGAGGGACAACTAATGAAAATTCACAGTGAGTAGATGGATTGTCTCGAACAAGGAACATCAAAGACACAGGTGTCATTAGATCACAAAGTATGTAGAGGGGAGAAAAACGTAAGAGTGGTAAAGTTGGAGGGGCCAGGCTATGAAGGACTTTCAAAGTTAAACAGAGGATTTGATATTTGATCCTGCTGGTAATAGGGAGTCGTTGGAGTTGATTTAATATGGGATGACATGGCCAGGCCTGTGTATAAGGAAGATCAGTTTGACAGTTAAGCTGACTGGAGTGGGAAGAGACTTGAGGCAGAGAAATCAACCAGAAAGTTGTTGCAATAATCCAGGTGTGAGGTGATAGGGTCTTATATCAAGGTGGTGGCTATGTGAATGGAGAAAAGGGGAGGTTTACAAGAGATGTTACTAAGGTAGAATTGATAGCTGATAGGATATGACAGGTAGTGAGAGAGAGTGAGGGGTCAAGGTTGACACTGAGGTTGTGATCCTGGGTGACTGGGAGGATGGTGGTATGCTCAGCAGTAATAAGGAAGTCTGGAAGAGAAGTGATAATGAATTAAGTTTTGGACATGTTGAATTTAAAATATCTATGGCAATCCTATACAACATGTCTAATATGCATAAATAGAGACCACAACAGAAATTAGAATTAGGCAAATACATCTGAGAGCCATCTGCATAAAGATGATAACTGAATTCATGGGAGCTGGTGAGATCATCAGGTGAAATAATATAGAGGGAGAAGAGAAAAGGGCCCAGGTCAGAGCCTTGGGGAGTCACCTACTGTTAGTAGCCATGACCTGAATGAAGATCTAGCAAAGAAGACTGAGGAGTGATTAGACAGGTGAGAAGAGAACTAGGAGAGAGCAGTGTCACAAAAACCTAGAAAGAAGGAAATATCAAGGAAAAGAAGATGATCAATGTCAAAGTTTGCAGGGAGGCCAAGAAGGATGAGCATTGAGAAAAAGCCATCAGATTTGGATTGATATTGAGATATTGATAACTCTGGAGAAAATAGTTTTAATTGAATGATGAAGTCAAAAGCCAAAGTGTTAAGAAGAGTGTGAGAAGCTATTGATTAGAGAGATGCAAATTAATAGGCCTGATAATGGTCTAATTTTTCAAATTTCTAGAGAATTGAGTCAAATTTATAAGAATACAAGCTGTTTCCCAATTGATAATTATGGACACTGGCACCTCTAGGTTACCTTTCCACATTGATGCTCATAGATTTCAGGTGAGGTCCATCGGGGTATGGCTACCTGAAGGCTAAAATATACACTGTGGGCACACATTCTTAAAACTGCTGCTCATGAGCAACCACCATTGACTTTCTCGAAGAGTTAGCTAGTAGACACAATTAGTTCAAAGCAAAGGTGTTTACCAAGATGGCCTAATAATAACAAGAACAAACTAGTCATTGCGGTTTTGTCCTTTATTTTTGTAGAGGACCAATGACATTGCAGGTGACATTTTGATTTGTGTGTGAATTGGATTAAAGTGAGGCAAAGATGGCATCCTTATAGAGCCCATAGATAGATAACACAAAGCTAAAACATATAATGAATATACTGGATAACAGTCAGGATCTTAGAAAATCTTGGCAGAGTCTAATGTTATACAAAATTTATTAAAATAAAATATAAAGGATAGAATGCTGCACTTGGGTTAAAAAAGGTAAACTTTTACAAGTCCAAGGTGCAGGGGCATAGGTAGACAGCTGTTCATCTGAATAAACCTCTGAGTAGATTTCAAGTTCAAAATGTGTCAACAGTGTGACATGGAATCCAAAAGGCTAATGTGATCTTAGGCTGAACAGAGAGATCTGGGGTTCAGAAAGAGAGAGCTGATAGTCCCTTTGTACTTTACCCTTGTCAGATCACATAAGGAGCCTTGTGCCCAATTCTGGAAGCCCATTTTGCAAACACATTGACAAGATGGAGACCATTTGCAGAAGGCCAGTCACAATGGTGAAGGGTCTCAAGACCATGACATATGAAAATGCATGGAAGATATTACAGGGGTTAGTCTGAGACAGAGAATACTTGAAGTTATGGAGAGGTGATAGCTGTCTTCAGATATTTGAAGGGCTGTCACATGGAAGAGGAGCTATAGTCACTCTGTTTGGCCCTAGACAGCAGAGCTAGAAGCAATGTTCAAACTTTGAAGAGAGGCAGATCTAAGTTTGACACAAGGACAAATTTCTTAACAATGCTTTCCTGTCAAACTGATCTTCCTTATACATGGGTCTGGCCATGTCATCCCAAATTAAATCAATTCCATTGTTTCCCTATTACCAGCAGGCTCAAATATCAAGTCTTCTGTTTGACTTTGAAAGCCTTTCATAGCCTGGTCCCTCCAACTTTACCACTCTCACATTTTTCTCTGCTCCACATACTTCATGATCTAATGACACCTGTGTCTTTGATGCTTCTGGTCTGAATTTTCATTGGTTCTCCCTCGTACCTGGGCTGCCTTAGAAGGTAGTGAGTTTCCCTTCACTGGAGTCCTTCAAATTCTGGATGACCACTTACATTTTGCCAACTTACGTTTTTTCCAGGTGTCAGTTGGACAATGGTGCCTCTGAAAGCATTCTTCTATTCTGAGATTCTGTGATTTAATAGAAAAGACTTATGGATTCAGAGCCTGTCAAGCTCTGTATTTTCTGTTGCCTGTTCTTCTCTTCCCTTCAGCTTTTTTCTCCCTTCTCTATCATTCCTGTAAGAGGAAGAAAAGAAAAAGGCAAAGGTCTCCCACTGCATCTGGGGCCATCTCCAGTTGTCCTGACCTATATCTTGCCACTGGACCCAGATGTCTCTGGAGGAGAAAGTGAGGCTGGTGACTTTGCATAGCTCTGCCTCACTTAAATCCAATGTTTTTTAATAATTAAATCACTAATTTATAGAAATTTTTTTTATGGATTTGGAGTTAGATCTTCTCCCTTGTTGAATATATCAGCCCCCCCAGTAGAATTTGTTTTATTTATTGAAATAAAGTTCAGTGGACTATACCATCCATACTTATAAGCCATTGATTCAGAAGGCACAAGAATGATAAGCTTGCTGTGAGATACCATTAACTACTTCTTCCAGATTTCTACAATCAGTTGGCACTAGAAGAGAAAGTCAGTTGTACTCCTTAAATCACTTTCCGGAAGACTGTTACCAAATCAGGTGGAAAGGGGCAACACAGAATTTTAAAACTACTATATTCTTTAAATTTTTTTTAATGAACAAAATCTATTTTCTTTCCCTTTCACCTCCACCACTGGGTTGGGGGGGAACCCTGTAAAAATATTCAGAGTCAAGAAAATTAAATCCCACACTTAATGCTACATCACTGATGAATTACTTAAGGTGGTTCTTCAGAATTCCTTTTTGATATTAGTAGGAAAACTGTCTTCCTTTTAGATCACTCTAACTTTCATTCACTTAAGTTTTTTTCTAAAACCTTCAATGAATTCCTCTTCCTACTTTCAAATCTGTTACTGTTCATCTTCCCATTATTTCCAAATCTTCAAAGATGGTTTTCCTATCCATGAAAGACATTTATTCCCTAAACACCATGTTCTTCTTGAGACTCATAGCACAATCTGTCCGCAAATAGAGATTATTTCCTTTGCTTCTCACCCCTAATTAAACTTGATGAATAATGATGATAATAATAATAATAATACCCTACATAACACACTAAGAAACTGTAAGCATTTTATAGATATTATCTGGACTACACATCATCCCTGTAAGGTAGGGAAGGGAAGAAATAATTTGAAGATGAAGAAATAGAGGCAACATGACTTGTCCAAACAAATAATAGCTGGTGGACATGAGGCACCAAGGGTGTTCTCTTCTCTTGCCAGAAAACCTAGAATTGTATGTTTATTAGATATTCATCGGTTTCTTCCCCCAGATTTGACTCAGCACTCACATATGAAAAGACTGATTCCCATCGGAAGTTGCCTCCACTATGAACAAAGTAATACTTATCCCTTGTCCTCTGGGTAAAAGCCATGATGCTAGAAGCTATAATAACTGCCTTAAATTAAAATTTACATGTTATTTTCAATTTCTTAATTTGTTGGTGAGAAAAATTAGTCAAGTGGTAGTAATGGGAGTCCTATTATTGGCTATGTCAAAGGAGTTACGTGGTAATGACATCTTTTAAAAGGCAGTCTTGGTGGCCTTGCAGTTCATGCCATTCCTTCATCTTGTAATCTGAGCCTCTGTTTCCACTAAACTATCCAAGATGTTTGAGCCTTTTTTGGGAATCTGGAAACTTGTCTCTAGTGAAAACTTCGATGACTACATGAAGGAACTAGGTGAGATGTGCCATTGCATGGGATGGGAGTTATTGGTTTCTTTTTTGCAGTGTTGCGGATGATGACTTTTCCCTTTTGTCTTTCTTCTGGGTTTCTAGGTTATGCCATATTGATCTGAAAAAAGCCACCTTTTACATATATGCAACCCTAAATGATGTTGCTTTAAAGTGTGTGTGGCAGGGGCAGGAATATTTTCTATATGCTGAAAAATTATATAAAATTATATAGATTGTAATAATCTATACTCAGATGTTATGCGAACATTCCTTAGTTAATAGTGAAGACAGCTTCCAAAAGGAATCAGCCTTTTCTAATTTGGGAGAAAAAAACTGATGAACATTTCTATTGTATATATATAAAACTCTTGGTTATCTGGCAAGAGGAGAGAACATCCTTGATTACCTCATGTGCATCAGCTATTATTTGTTTGGGCAAATCACATTGTCTCTAATATTCATCTTCAAATGATTTCTTGCCTTCTCTACCTTGCAAATTTGGTGTATAGCAAAGCCTGTATTCAGCTGGCTTTATAACATTTCTATGTGCAAAAACTTAGGTATTAATAACTAAAGCTTCTGCTCTTGATTCAGCCCCTCTTTAGATGAGGAGCTAACAACTGGGGGATCAGAAAAGGCTCCACAGAGGGTGGAACATCGAGAGGCTCCTTGAAGGAAAAGAATTCTGACAGATGGAGATGAGAAGGGAGTGCATTTTAGACACGGGCAGGTGGTTTGCAGGTGCAGAAAGACAGGAAATAGGATATCGACTTAAGGGAATATCTATTACTTGAGTCTGGCTGCAATATGGCATGCATAAAGGGGAGTAAGGTAAAATATGGAAGAAGTTTGTACCTATGATTCCAGAGGGAGATCTTAATGAGGAAACTCCCTCTATCAATGCAAGTTGGCATCTTCTTGTCAACTGAGAGTTTTTGAGTTACCTAAACCCATGAGAGGTTAAGTCACTTGACCTGCTAAGGATCTTACAGCCAGTAAGTGTGAGAGGGAGACTTAAACCCTGATCTGCCTACCTCCAAGATCAGATCTCTATCCTTTATACCACCCTGCCTCTAATGAGCAGCAGGCACAGCAAGTCTAGAAAAGGAGAATGGTTACTAACTTAGAGCTAGAAGCAACCTTAGGAGTCATCTAGTGTAACTATATTCTTGTACAGATTAGGAAACTGAAGCTCAGACAATTTAACTGATTTGACCAAGGTCACATGGAAGTATCAGGATTTGAATTCAGGGCCTTGGCCTCCAGCTTCAACATTCTTGCTATTCCACGAGAGGTTAAGGCCATGTCATAGAGAACCTTACAAACCAGGCTAAAGAGTTTGTATTTTATTGTAAGCAATAAATAGATGTTGATTACTTCTGAATAAGAAAGAATCTTACAAAGATTATCCTATTAGCTGTGTGGAGGATGGATAGGTGAATGAAGACATTGCAAGCAGGAAGACTAGTTAGGAGATCGCAATTAGATCCAGTCTCATAAAATGATTGCATCATTTGAATTCCCATTGCATATTTTCAGTAGGCTAGAACCAATGACCACATTTTATATAATTATAACTTTAAATACTGTGAATTCAAATACTTAACCACTTCAGGAGATTCATTATTTACTCTAATTGGACCTAGATGTGTCACACTAGTCCAGGGATGAGGTAATGAGACTCCTAACTAAGCAGGTGGTTGTCCAAGTAGAGAGAAAGGACAAATGTAAATCATGTTGTAGAGGCTAATATAAATTGCTTAAGTAAGGAGTAATAAGAGAATAAATTATTGTGGTGGTAGAGCAAATTGGATGGATTTGAGAAAGATTTTGAAGGAAGAATTAATGAACTTGGCAACTGATGGCATATGGGGAAAGAGGGAGAAGAAAGAGTCAAAAGTGACTCCAAGCTTATGAATCTAGGGGACTTGGAGGATGGTGGTGCCCTCAGCAAAAAGAGAGAAGTATATGCTTTTTGCAAAAAAAAAAAGAAAAAAGGATTTTTTTCTAATCACATGTAAGAACAATTTTTAACATTCATTTTTAAAAAATTATCCAAATTATCTCCATCCCTTCTTCACCACCCACTTCATAAGACAATTAGCAAAGTAACATAGGTTATGTATGTGCAGTCATGTAAAACATATTTCCATATTAGACATGTTTTGAAAGAAGAAACGGGCCAAAAGACAAGAACTACAACAAAAATAAAGAAAGTGAAATAGAATGTTTTGGTCTGCATTCAGACTTTCTCAGTTCTTTCTCTGGATGTGGATAGCATTTTCCGTCATGAATCCTTTGGAATTGTCTTGGATCATTGTACTGAGGAGAAGAACTAAGTCGTTAATAGTTGATCTTTGCACAACGTTGCTGATCCTGTGTATAGTCTTGTCCTGGTTCTGCTCACTTTGCTTTGCATTAGTTCATGCAAGCCTTTCCAGGTTTCTTCTGAAATCTATCTGTTTGTCATTTCTTATAGCCCAGCAGTATTCCATTGCATTCATATATCACAACTTGTTCGGCCATTCCCCAGGTGGCTGAAAGGCATCGCCTCAATTTCCAATTCTTTGCCACCACAAAAAGCTGTTCTAAATATTTTTGTGTGTGTAGATCCTTCCCCCCCCCCTTTTGTGATCTAAAAGGAGAGAAATATGGAAGAAGGGTGAGATTAGGGTGGACTATCAAGAATTCTATTTCAGATATATTGAGTTTGAGATGTCAATTTAACATCCAGATGGAAGTGTCTAGTAGGCAACTGGAGATTAGAGTTAAGGAGGAAGATTTAGAGTTGGATATAGCCTTGGCATCAACAATGTAGAGATGATCATTGAATTCATGCAAGTGGATGTAATTATCAAGGGAAAGCATGTGGAAAGAGAAGAGAGTTCAACACAAAGAGTTGGAGAAGCATCATTGCTTCAGAAGTAGAAGATTGCATTGATAATTCAGGAAAGGAGAGTGAGAAGGAATGGTCAAACAGAAAGGAGGAGAGCCAAGAGAGAGTGGTATCATAGAAGGCCAAGTAAGAAAGAATGTCCAGGATGAGAGGACTATCAGCAGGATGAGGGGGCTGCCAAAGCTGCAGAGATGGCAAGGATTGGAACTAAGGAAATGATAGATAATTTAGCAATTAAGTCATTATTGGTGGCCCTAGAGTCAGGAGGACCTGAGTTCAAATCCAGCCTCAGACACTTACTAGCCATATGTCCCTAGGCAAGTCACAACCCTGATTGCCTCAGAAAAAAATAAAAGACATCATTAGTAATTTTGTGAGACCAATTTTAGTAGCATAGTGGGGTAGGAAGCAAATTGCAAGGAGCCCAGAAGTGAATGGAGGCAGTGAGTATAACACACCTCCTTTGGAGTATGGTCATTGTGTTCAGGTCTGATCTCCCAGTAGTGCTCTATGGTCTGGAAATTTCAGTGTCTTATTTGCTCAGAACACTACTAAAATTATTCTGCATTAATGAGTTGACTTATTTGTTAAGGCTGATGTAGCACGATTATGTTTTATGGGGGAACATTCTGGCTATGATACTTGAACCGAATGCCACTGGAGCAGCCTAATAGTGGAGTTACTTTCAACCAGTGGGCTACTCACTTGGTTTGCGTCTTGCTGGTGTTACTAGGTAATACATGATTGATTCTCTTGGATTATAGAAACAGATGTGTCAAGAACTAAACAGGATATATGGACAAGATGCAAGTTCTGCTCAAATGTTTCTTAACCTGAATCTGTACAGGGAGAAAATGTAGCATAATGGATACAAGGTTGGCTTTGGAGGCAGAAAGAGCTGAGTGTAGGTCTCTCCTCTTGCATACGCTAGCTTTAACTTCTCCAGTGCCCCAGGTGACTCTTGAGACTGTAAATTACACATGAGCTGCTTATCTGTATCAACAAAGGCAGTTTGCACATTGGGAGGTTTCCCATACTAATGAAATCATAGGTCTGGACTCTCTTCAGCCCCCTCCTTCCCAAATATGCTTCCAGCATGTTGATGCACTATGTAGGCTTGATCCTTCAATGAACAAAGAATTTAAAGAAGCTATATGGTAGGGATGGAATATGAGCAAGGGAAGTCAAAGCTAGGTTCTAGTCAACCAATCAATAAACATTCATTAAGTGCCTACTGTGTGCCAGGCACTGTGCTAAATACTGGGAATGCAAAAAGGGCTCGAAAGACAGGCCCTGCCCTCAAGCAGCTTACAATCTAATTGGCATTTTCCTGTCTCTGGCATTGTCTGTATGAACAGGGAAAGTCACTTAATCCCTTCCAAATATAGAATCATATGATCCCAGACTCTGAAGGGACCTCAAACTGGGACTGATTAAGAATCCCCTTTATACCATCTCTAACAAGCAGATATCCAGCCTCCCCCTGGAAGACCTCCTGAGATAGGGAACTCATAAAGTGACCTATTTCACTTTTTTGATGATTGTGAAGAAGTTTTCTGTTTTTTGTTTTTTCTCCTTAAGCTTTAGTTTCCATGTTTGCAAAAGGGGTATAACCAGGAGTGCGCTGAAACCAACTTAAATCAGCTCTTAAAAACCAATTGTTAAATTTTCAGTGTAAATATTTATACCTCAGAAATAGGTAAACACTACAAATCAGCAGTGCTGGGCTGGGAGTCAGGAAGACCTGAGTTCAAATCTAACCTTAGGCACCTGTTAGCTTTGTGATCCTGGACAAGTCACTTAAACTCTGTTTTTCTCAGTTTCATCAATTGTAAGATGGGGACAATTATAGCACGTACCCTGTAGAGTTGTTGTGCAGATCAAATGTGATTATTTTTGTTACATGCACTTAGCACAGTTTCTGGCACATAGTAGGTGCTATATATGATAATAATAATCATTATTATTATAAAACAGAGCTTGTTTGTCTAGACTTGAGAAAACATTTGAGAAAATGTTAATAATGCAGATTAAACTTGAAAGTAGTATACACACTTTTCTGATGAGCCAATTATATTTACCAGTATCCCCCTACTATAATTATATGTACTGCCTACCTCGCAGAGGGGTCATGAAAAAAGTGTTTTGTAGTACTTATAGTTCTACTATAACCAATGGAACTTTTAGTAATACTATATTAATGCACATTTATGATACCCTGACCTGTATGCATAACTCTTTACTTACTTCAGCCTCACAACAGTTCTGCATGGTATTACGACCCCCAGTTTACAAAGTAGTGAAGTGCTTTCCCCCATAGTTATAGAGCTAGTTAGACAAATAATTCAGACTTGGGTGTCTCTGACTCCAGGTCCAGCACTCTCCCTCCATGCTATGCCTCTTCTCAGCAAAATCTTAAGAAGCAAGATTTCTTCCACGTATGAGTCTGAAAAAAAAAATGAAAATCTTGAGAAACTGCATTACCTCCCTCTTTCAGTCCTCTGGGAGTAGTAATACTGAAGCAATGATTTTACAAATAAAACCCAATAGTCTAAGAGATGGATTGCAGCTTCCCACACTGCCAAAGAATCTCCCTGGGAGTAGTTGATAGTTGGGAGCATACAGCTGGCTGCATAAATTGCAAAGATCAGGCAAAGGAGGATACTAAAATGCCTAATGGGAAAAATAGATTTTAAAAAGCTTTTAAAATGATTAATTTTAGCCATTTCTTAAAGATTGTAAATTTGAAATTAGATTATAAACTCCTCATTACATCATAAGATCCTTGAGAGCAAGGACTGTTTTTTGCTTCTTTTCTGTATCCTTAGCACTTAACATAGTACCTGGCACATAGTAGACACTTAATGAAGGTTTATTGAATTGGACTGAAGTCTTATGTTCAGCATTCTCAGAAAGGAGAATCAAATCTGATTTCTCATCTGACTTGTAGGAGTGAGTTTTGCCACCAGAAACGTTGGAGGATTAGCCAAGCCCAGTGTAACTATCAGTGCTAAAGGCAACGAGATGACCATCAAAACAGAGAGCTCATTCAAAACCACGGAGATCTCCTTCAAGCTGGGTGAGGAGTTTGATGAAGTCACAGCAGATAACCGGAAAGTGAAGGTGAGCACTAATGCTTCCAGATGGCAAAGAGCTGAAACAGGTTCAAGGGAGTCTGAGAGCTCTCTTTTCCTGAAGAGTTCTTAGTTTTGAAGCTCTGTCTACACTGACTGCACACACACAGAATCAAGCATTTATTGTAATTCATTTTTCTGCTCTTTTGATGATGATTTCAGCGCAATGAATTGAACTAACACTTTAGCTAATCAATTTAACAATTTAAAATAGCAAAAAAAAAAATAACATTTGATTTTTTTTCATCTCTATTCAACCCTAACTAGTTTTCTGTCATTATCCTTAAGTACCTTATCACATAGAAACAGATAGGTGGTGCAGCGGATAGAGTACCAAGCTTGAAGTCAGGAAGACTTATCTTCCTGAGTTCAAATCTAGCCTCAGACACTTACTAGTTGTGTGACCCTGGGCAAGTCACTTTTTGCCTCAGTTCGTCATCTGTAAAATGAGCTGGAAAATGAAATGGCAAACCACTCCAGTATCTTTGCCCCCAAATGGGGTCAGGAAGAGTCAGACACGACTGAACAACAACAACAAACCTCACCACACATTACCTGCCTAGACACTGGGCATGTATATATACACAGATCTTTTGTGGACATGCACATGAAAAACTTTCTCTACCATTGTGGATTGTCAGCTGCTCTGCAAATTCTAGTCTTAGAACAAATAGGGATCCTGAAATATTAAGTGATTTGCCCAGGGGCACACAGCCAGTATGTGTCAGGGGTCGGGCTGGAACCCAGGCCTTCCTGATTCCAAAGCCATCTCTCTGATTACCAGACTGTACTATCTTTGTTGACTAGATAGCTTCCAGAAATAAAACCCAGACCTATGATACTATTGCTTGAAGTATTACAGTAAAGATTTTGAAATGGAAAAATGTGTAAATGGCCTTCAGTACTTCAACAGATCTCAGTGAAGATACTCCCTCCGTGGGGCTAGGTTGCATCAGCAACCTGATCTCTGCCCCTGTGTGATTTTTGTCCTTGTGCTTCTCAGAGGATCCTCCTGACTCACCAACCTGTATTTATTGGTACTAGTTTAGCCTTAAATGTGTTAAATAGACACCTAACTATAAGTAGATCCAAATTTTCTTAAATAAAGTTAGCAGTTGATTTCTAAAAGTAAATCCTTTGTGGATTTCTAGAGCATCATAACGTTGGAAAATGGCTCCCTGATCCAGGTGCAGAAGTGGTATGGCAAGGAGACAACAATCAAAAGACAAATTGTAGACGGGAAAATGGTGGTGGTAAGTTTCTTGGCCACAGCTAGAATAATTTAACAGTCATGCTGGGTTTAATCTCGTTCTCTTTGGTCACAGAGGGCTGAACTAGCCACAAAAGGTAGAAGGTGCAGAGAAAAATATCTAAGTTGCAGCATCAGGAAAGCCTAACGATGAGAATGATCTAAAAGTGGAATATCACCTTGGGAGGTCAGGTGTTCCCTTTCATTAGAGGTCTTCGAGCAAAAGCTTGTTATTAGTAGTTATTCATATGCAGGTTGGACGGGAGGGCCTCTGAAGCCCTTCCTAATTCTGAGATTCTATGAAAATTTCTTAGTTTCTTTGAATGCCCTGAATTACACATTTTTTTCTAGGTTGGGGATTCAATGATGACTTTAGAACTACTTTAAATTTAAAGATGGAAGGGATGTCACAGGTCATTTAGACCAACCTCTGCACTTTACAGATGGGGAAGCCAAAGCCCAGAGAAGTTAGGTGGCTTATCCAAAGTCACACAGATAGTATCAGAGCCCAGGATTCAAACGCAGATCCTTTGACTCCATTCTATATACAAATAATAATAAATATCCTTTCTTCCAGGTATGCATCATGAATAAGGTTGTGAGCACTAGAATCTATGAAAAAGTATGAAGAGATTTCAAGTAAAAATTGCATCCTGAACTTGGAAAAAAAGAAGCATCAATTACCCAGCAATAAGAATAGTGATTTACTCAACATCAATTTAATCAATAAACAGTTTCCAAATAAAGTGTGGTTTCAATAAATTAATCAATAGGCATCAGGGAATACAAAGACAAAAACAAAATAACCCTTGCCCTCACAAAGGTCATATTCTCTAGGGGAAGACAACATACACATGAAAATATTTATAAAATAGAATAAAATGATACAAAGCAATTTTTGGAAGGGAGCAGTAGTAGATGGAAGGAAAAGGAATAGTTCCATGTTGGAGGTGGCTTTTGAGCTGAACTTTTAAGAAAACTAGGAAATTTAAGAGGCTGAAATGGGGAGGGAATGAATTCCAGGCCGGATAGGTAGTCTGTCCAAAGGGAAGATGAAATGCCATGCAGGAGGGACAACATAACATGATGAGTTTTTTCTGATCCATAGAGAGCGTGAAAGGGATTGATATCTCATGAGGCTAAAAAAACCAAGCTGGAGACAGATTGCGAAGGGATTCAGATGCTGGAGTTAGAGTCAACATCGTGCATGTCTCAGTGAAGGAGGCAGCTACTTATGAGTGGTGATTTGAGAACCTTTGAAAGATTCCAGTGTTCTCCAACATCTCTCCACCCATTCCAATACTCCAATGTAGTAATGATTCATTAATGTAGGAATTTCTTCCAAGGAAGCAGATCATAAACCTATTCATATCTGCTCTTCCTCCATGAAATTGACTTTGGAGATTTTAGCAAAGCTCCTACTCCGGAAGGGAACCTGTCCTGACCAGTTACCTAGTAAAAGCAAAGATCGAGGGGAATTATCCTTTTATTTAAAGTTCTGTCTTTTTTAACCTTAGAAATTGCATTCATTTTTGTTCTTTGTTATCAGTAATATTATTTTTGTTGCATTTGATGATCCATAAATACTTTATTGGATTCTAACCCCAAATTTAGTCTGAGTGGTCCAGTCTAAAGTTTATTTTTTAAAGGCATTATCTTTCTTAAAATAAAAATACCCCATGGAGCAATATATTAAACTAATTCACTCTATCTGAAGAACCTTGAGAACACTGCATGTTGGGGGGAGGGGTGGAGTAGGGAAAGGAAGAAAGAAAAAAGGAGGAAGAGAACAGAGAGGTGACACAAATCGTATTGAATAGTTTGACTTGCTTCATGATTCTGTCTGGGATCTGGCCATGCTGAGACCCAGTGTAGAAAATTTAGCTATTTATTGTGCCAAATGTCGATGGTATGAAAGACGCTCACTCTGGCAGTGAGAAGAGAGTGAGGACATTATATACTACCACGGAGCTATTACCAAAGAGTATTTTAAAAGCAATCATTGTCTTGCTTGTCTGTAATTTCAACTATTTAAAATAGTGAAGCTAGTGTAAATGTCACCACTGTGACAACCAGGCCTTCACAGAAAGGCACTTCATTATGGGGCAGGCCGGAATTTGTAATTGTTTAACAAGAATTTGATTGTTACAGCTAAACCTACTCCCTCAGAAGCCTACTAAGTCCTGCTGCTAAGGATGTGGGATTTCCCAGGCTTGTATCGAGGTTGGATGGGGTTGGGATGCTGCAGGTGAAACTGAAATATACATCATGAAAAGATGGAGGGTGGCCTATGACAATGATGGGATAAAAAATGAGATTTAAATAGGATCATAGAATCCTAGGTTTGGGCTAGAAAGGAGTCAAATGTCGACATGTCCAACCATCTCATTTCACAGAAGAAATAGCCATGGAGGTGGGGGGGTGTTGGAGCCTGCTCCTGCTATAGATTTTCAGTGGGATAATTTATACTTCCGACATTACAAATGAGGGCACTATTTATTGTCTTGTCGGTTGTTGAGACTTAAGAAAGTTGTAAAGAAAACATTAATAATGAGGATTAAACTTAAATGTGTGTTGTGAGTATGTTTCTTTTTTCAGACAGCCTATTCTGAAACATTTATCAGCATGCCCAGAGAGGTTGTTACTTGCTCAGGTCACACAGCTAGTAAATGTTTAACATGGAACTCAAACAGATCTTCTCAATTCCAAATTTAGTACTCTGTACATTAAGAAATGATCATTCACTGAATTAACATTTTCAGAGTAAACAAGTTATCATCTAGGTTTTCCTCTTTTGATGAGAAATTATATTGTTTTTCTTTTTTCAAATGGAGAGGGAAATAAAAGCAAAAAAAAAAAGAAAACAGCATTGGTTTGCTGCTGTATAATCACGTGCAGGTGAAATTGAAGGCTAAGGTACAAAAAGAAGGAAGGGGAAGTGGAAGTGGGTAAGGTTTCATGGCATCATAGACTGAGACCTGGAATGGAATATGTCATCTAGTCCAACATCTTTATCTTACAAAAGAGGAAATCACAACTCAGAGAGGTTAAGTAAGTTGCTTGAGGTCATGCAGCTAGTATATCACAAGGTTGAGGTTTGAGCTCAGATCCTCTGTTCCCAAATCTGGAGTTCTTTCCACTATATCATGCTGTTTCCATGGACCCAAAGAATGTTACCAATGAGAGGCACCTTATAGTCACCTTAACCACCTGCCTCTTTTGCAGACAAGAAAATTGAAAGAAAAAAGATGAAACAACTCAATTAAAATTGATGAACATTTATCAAATACCTATTATATCTAAGGCACTGTGCTTGGTGCTGGGGACAAAAAGTAAAACCAAACAAAACAAATTCACCCCTTGCCTTCAAAGAGCTTACATTTTACTGGAAATAATTTTCCCAGTGTCATACATGTAGTTAACAGCAGAGCCAAGTTTAAAACTTGGGAATCTAGACTCTCAGTTCAGAGTTTGGTTTTGTACCCCCAGTTCTAGAGTAGATAGTCATGCTGACTCTCCTGTCCCTTCCTCCCAATCCCCTACTTCCTAAGTGGATTGGGGTTAATGTGTCAGATGTAAGTCCTGGTATTCCACTGGGAATTTACATGTGATATGAGGATAAAGTTCTGTTGGGTCTTTGTTAGCCGCTGAACTGTGTCACCAGCTAGCCTTGGGCTATTGCCCTTATCTCTCCTGAATAAGCAATATTAATTTAAATTCATCAAGCATTTATTAAGTGCTTACTATGTTCAAGGTACTATTATAGCCTATATCCTTGGTACTTAAAGAACTATACTAGTTTCCCTCTTTCAGCGGTGGTAAAAGCTTTACTACTAATTCCTGACAGAGCTTCTCTTATGCCTAGAGGGGAGAATTAGCCTGACTGTGTCTTTAATCGTGAAGAGTCTCCCATAGGCAGTCTGGAGGTGACTGTAATTGTAGAGCTCTCTGAAAATGGTGGAGGTGACTTAGACAATCACCAGGAAAAAGGAACATGCCTAAGGGAAAAATGGAGGTATTAATTTAGGCATTTGAAGAATGAATGAATGAGGGAAAGCATTCAAATACTCAGTAGGTGCCAAACACTGTGCTTTCTGGTGGGAATACAGACACAAAAATGAAGTCACTCTCTGCCTTTAGAGGGCATATGTTCTAAAATGGGGGAGGTAACATGTATAGTGGAGTGGTGGTTTTGTCTGGGTGGCAAGGTGCCTGGTGAGAAGATATCAAGAATTTGGTCTTCAAAACTCCTTGAAAAACTACCATGTCACTCTAATTTGCTTTGTAAATGCTCATTGAATGAAATTTATCAGAAAAGGTTTGGAAAGTTTCAGGGATGGTGAGTGGTGCTATAGGAAAGTAGACTAACACACTCTTGTTGGTAGTAATGACAGTGTTGATTTCATTATGGCCCCAGAACTGGAAAGGTAGGGTTAGGAGTTGGAGGATGACACAGATAGTATGTTTGTGATGTCAGTGAGGTTAGTGAGAAGATGGGTAGGGAATAAATGGATGCATGGCTGGAGTTGACCAGGATATAGAGGACCCCATGAAGCACTCACCATTGGGAGAGTAGAGACCCCATTGTAAGAATTCTAGAGCTGAAAGGAGAGTCTCTTGTCTGATCAGGAAGGCATCTGGTAAAAAGATGGATGGAAAGTAAAGTGAAGAATGGAAGGAGCTGAGCTACATATAGTGAACTGTGTGAAATGCTCACCCATCAGGACCTCAGAGACAACAGGGCAGGAATTCTGGGGTTTAAAGGGTCAAGTCCTTCAGCGCATGGTCTCTGATTTAGATGGTGAAGTGGCTAACGAAGACAGCCAAAAATTTCATGCTCAAAATTACTGGGGAACCACCATGACACTCCAAATGAGGAAGGCAACTAGCTAATGAATTTGTACTTAATAAATGCTTCTTTAATTAAATTAGTCAAGAAAAGGAGAATTCTAGTTTTTAAATTTCAAAATCTTCCTTTATTTTAAGTAATATGGTTTTAAAGTCATAAGAGGCTGTAACAAAATATAATGCACTTGCTGTCTATAGTTACAAATGTATATCCTCTTCTATTCCCCAATCAGCGTCTAGAAATGTGGTGGCTTCCATTGCAGGTTGACTCAAAAAGATTGCACCTATAATATATATGGGTGTATATATATATATACACCCATATATATATACATACACACATATATATGCACACACATATGTACGTATGTGTATCTATATAAGTTACCTATATATTATATACCTATATATCACATATAATATTGCTATATGTAATATTCTATATTACATATCTATATATTATATATTAATTATATATTATATACTTATAATATATCAGCTATAATAATATATAAGCTATGTCTTCATGATTTTAGTGGCAGAGGGATCTCAAAGACTTAACAACAGTCTCCTCTCTGCCTATGACTGTCAAATCTGATTCATTCCCTCTGTGTTTAACTTCAAATGACAGGCTCTATCAAGGTTGTTGGTTAGAACAACTGTTCTCCCTTCAAACATTTCACAATGTCTCTTTCTCAAGTGATAATGACTTGCTCAAAAAAGGTTTCCTGGCATGGGGCCACCAATCTATCATGCTGATTCCTCTTGAAGGAAATGACATGTTATTCTAATTGGGGAGTTGTGCAGTATTCTGAGAGGGAAGCTATAAAGGGAAATCATGATTGGAGAAGAAAATATAGTGATTCAAGTGATAAAAAGACTTTATTTTTCAACCTTCAAAGGGGGTGGGAACTAGAAGGCTCTGGTGTAAAAGACATGACAAAGTAATCAGATTGATTTCTATAAACTGCACAGGGGAAGCAAATGTCATTATAGTAAAGACATCTTGTATAACAGTGAGGCATATTTCAGGTTACGTAGAAGAAGATATAAGCTTTCATTTCATACTAGAATTCAGCTGTCATTAATATTATTAAAATATATCTTGACTAGGTTACTTTCTGTCTACAATTATTTAGCTATTTGATGGACCATAAACAGCTTGGGACACTGCCAGTGCTATTTAGTTTTTGGATAAAATCCAGTGCCTAGCACAATATCTTATATGTGGTAGGTTCTTAATAAATGCTTGTTAATTGAAAACAAATAATTACAGAGGAATTAATCAAATGTGGAACTAATTTCCTTCACTTACCCATAATAATATGAGCCCAAATACATAGGGTATCAGTGAATGAAATCTTGGAAGTTCTGTTCATAGACTCCTGGAATCTTAGAGCTGGAAGGACTCTCAGAGATCATCGAGTACAACCCATACTTGAGCAGGAGTCCCCTCATGAAATCTCTTAGGAGTGGCTATCCAGCCCCTCTTTGAGGATCTGGAGTGATTAGTGGGAACTTGCTAAACATTGAGTCAATCCATTTCAATTTTAGACAGGTCTAATCATTAAGATGTTTTCCTAATATTAAGCTGAATTGTCTTCTATTGGCTGCTAACATCACTCTCTGAAGGGTACTGCTCTTTTTTTTTTCTTCCTAGTGACACTAAGCTTCCTTGCTGTTGTTCCTTATGCATGCCACTCCATTGCTCAACTATAAATTTTCACTGGCTGTCCTCCATGCATGGAATTCTTTCCCTCCTTCTTTCCACTTCTTGGCTTTCCTAGCTTCCTCCTAGTTTCAATGGAAGTTCTACCTACAAGAAGTCCTTCCTGGTCCTCCTTAATCATAGTGACTTCTCCCTTTTTTTTTAAATTCTCTAATTTATCATATATATATATATATATATATATATTATATATATATATATATATATTATGTATATATGTATATATTATATATATATATATATATATATATATATATATATATATATATCTTGTTTGTATGAACTTATTCACAGGTTGCCTCCTCCATTAGACTGGTAGCTCCTTGAGGGCAAGGATTGTTTGTTGTTATTGTTGTTGTATTTTTGCCTTTCTTTGTATCCCAAGCAATTAGCACACTGCCTAGCATACATTAGGTACTTGATAAATTTTTCCTGACTTGTTTTCATAAATTCCTCATGGATGAAATACAGAAAGAACAGAAAAAAGGTAGAAGGGGAAAGAAAACATAAAAAACCCAAAGGAAATCTATCCATTGACTACTATATTATATTCCTACCCCAATCAATGAGTTGCTTCAGTTCCAATTGCATTTCATAGAACATAATTACTTTAAATCTTTTATCATTTTGGGGAGGGCAGCAATATTCCTTAGAATCAAATGTTTGTTGTGTTTACAAAAGATCACAAATCCTTGTCCCACCTTCCTACTGACAACTGACAAAATATGGTTAATGTGTTTGGGGCACATAGTTAATTCTAAATCCTAAAATCTGCTGACATACCTTACCGAGTTGGGATAAAGAAATGGGACATTGCTTGTACATCTTGGCTTGTTGGAGGATTAAGAAAAGTACTATTTACTTTGATAAATGAAAGAAGGGCAAATCCAAGTCTGAAATTTGTCTTATTGCAACTTAAAAACACAAACAAATAAATGGTATACTGCAAAATCTCATAGCAGTAGAGCTCTAACAACAAACCAAACCTTCAGCCTTAGTCCAGTAGTTGACCACTTACCATTGACAAGTCATTTGGTGCATAAGAAAACTGGCTCATCCACATCGATATCTGACTGATGTGTAGTTGTTTGAGGTTAACTATGATTAAGAGACCTACAAAGGCAGATTACAACCTTTCTATGACTTAATTTTAAGGAGTCATACATAAGTACATAGAGATTAAGTAAATTTCCTAGGGTCGCAGATCTGTCAGACCTGAAATTTGATCCCAAGTCTTCCTGCTTCAAGCCTAAGACTCCATCTACTAGACTACACTGCCTCTATAAAATGCCATGCGATTTTAAGTTTTCATTGTTGTTATTATTATATTATTAATGATGATATGGAAATTCAGAGAAGGGAGAGATTATTGTTGATTGGGAAAATCAGGGAAAAAATCCTTAAAGAAGGATGTAGAACTTGAAGGTGGCCTGAAGGCTGGATAGGATCTCAATAGGTAGATATCAAGTACTGAAAGTGGAGGGTAGTTGAGGGGGAGTGAACAATAGAATCATAAGTATAATGGAAGAAAAGTTCAGTGGATTTGGGGGAGAAATGGCAAGTAGAATATATGTTAGTGAAGAGTATAAGATAATGCTAGAAAACATTAAGAAATTCCCTAAGTACCAGGCTACAGAATTTCAACATATTTGGATGCATTGGTGGGGGTTCATGAGCTATAGTTTTAGGAGTGATGACCCAGGGAGTATCCGTCTGTCCAACATCTAGGAGAACCTTACTTGTGAGTAAGGGGAAGGGGAGGGAAGAATACTCATTAGTTGCTACACTGGATAAAAACATCGTGAAAGACCTTGGACACAGGAGTAAAGAATTTAAATGCATTTAGACACATGAGTCAGGGACTCAAATATATTTTAGGTTTACATTAAAGGGATACAGAGAAATGTAGTGTGAAAAGGATATTGGGTCTGATATGAGGATTTCAATACAAATCCCAGTTTTGCCAATCACTACCTGTTAGAGACCCTAGACAAGTCACTTAACTTCTTTGGCCTTCAGTTTCTTCATTTGTACAATGTTAGCTTTTAATGTCACTTCTATCTCTAAGGACATTATATATGAAACTCAGGGTTTTGAGCAGGGGAACATTTTCAGAGCTATGCTTACCATAATGTTTTAACATAGTAGGTGCTTACTAAATGTTTAGTGATAGACTTACTGAATAGCAAAATTAAACTGGAAGTGCATGTAGGATGGATTACCCAGCGGATGAGACTGCAAAGGAAGAAATGTAATCACTATTGCAATTTGAGTAAAGCCAAAATTGCTCTTCAAAGATTTCATGAGTTTGCCAAATTACTTAAAGCTTTACTAAACAATGAAAATATCTGTAACTATCTTTGCAAGTCCCTCAGAAACTGCATTATTATGAACAATTCACTAGTTTTCACATTCTCTTGTTTTTGAGGATAGATGTCACTAAAACTGTTTTCTAAGAAAGAGGATGTGTTGTGTGTATACGCACGCCTTCAATCATCCTCCCTTTATCATTGCCTTCTTATATACTAGCTATTTCTCTGTTACCTCAGGATACATCTAGGTCTGCCTCATTTTAAAAAAAAATTAAAATAAAATAAAATAAAACCTTCATTTGACCCTGCCACGTCTTCAAACTTTCATTCTATATTTTTTTTCTTTTACAGCAGAACATCTAGAAAAAGTTGTCCACTTTTATTGCTTCTGTTCCCTCATTTCTCAAGCTTTTAAATTTCTTGTGATTTGGCTTCTGATCCTGCCACAGCATGGAAACTATTCTCTACAAAATTACCAACAATTCCTTAATTGCCAAACTCAATGACCCTTTCTCCATCTTTATCCTTTTCTACTTTTCTACTATGCATCATTTGATTGGTCAACCTGTACATTTTCTCATCCCTGGGTTTTTGCAGAACTTCTCTTCTGTTTATTCTTCTACCTGGCTGACTATTCCTTCTTAATCTCCTTTGTTGCATCATTATATATGTAACTATAGCTATCTCCTAAGGCTCTCTTTTATTTTCTGTCTATATCGTCTTATTTGATAATCTCATCAACTACTAT